AAGGTCCCTCCTCCTTCTATCCCACAGTCTTTTTTTCCTGTCCTTTCAGGACACACAGGATATTTTATTTTGGGCCACCTTCCCATGTGTACCATGGGCCTCCAGATGAAGTTCAGCCTCTCTTCATCTGAAGAACTCAGTAAACAGCCTGCACGGGCAGGACTAACTGAGTTTAGTACAGATTAGCATCTGTACTATTATGGGAGAAAAAGTTTCAATTTGGATGTGGGGTCGGCTGTTACCTTAAAAATCCCCTTATAGCATCTAACCCCCCTGATCTGAGGTCAGTTATTGGGAGAGCCTAGGGTAAGTGCTTATGTCTGATAAATTTTCATTGGTTTCATTTTATTTTAAATTCTGAGAGGTTATTCTGAAAGTTTACAAGTGCCTGGCTTACCTGCATCTGTCTTCTGTGTATTCTAAGCTTCCCTGGAGATCAGCAGGGTGCAGGGGCTTTCCTCCGGTCTGTCTCTTCTCTTTTCGGCTTCTGGCGCATGCGCAGTACCGACGGCGTCCGGCGGGTGTTCTGCGCATGCGCGGAATAATTGCGCGCTTAAAGGTATATCGTGCCAAAAAATGAAAAATTTAAAAACCACTCAGAATTGATCCTGGCTTCTTCTATGAACTTCTGTTAATAAGGAAAGCTGCCTTTTTTGATCAGAATCTGGTTTAAAGGTAAATCTAAAATTTTTTTTTGTATATTATTAAATCTTTCTTGCTGCTTAAATGTTTCTTTTACAATAAGCATATTTTATTCTAGATGGCTTCTCCCTCTGCCTCAAGATCTCGCTCTAGAAGACATAGGTGAGCCGCATATGTCAAAATTGATTTAAGGGGGGAAAAAGAGTGCCATTGCAGGCCTATAATATATAATATATCGGCCTTTAATTTCAGCCCAGAAAAATCTCAAGATGATTCTCCCAGAAAATATAGAGAAAAATCCAACAGATGTGCAAACTGCAACCAAGTGGCTCCTCCGGGAAAAAATTTGTGCAGATCTTGCCTTACGGAAGCAGCGAAGGACTGGGATGAGAAAAGTTCCCCACAGGCTGACTTAAAGAAATGGATTTCAGAAGCCATTGCTGAAGGATTTAAATCCTCTAGTAAAATGGCTATCCCCAACTGCACCCAGACTTATTTCAATTGATCACCCATCGGTGGGGAGTACCCCAGATCGACCTGATGGCTTCATACAACAACACTCAGGTGAAGAGGTTTTACTCCCTACATGCGGATCATCGAGCAGAAGGACAGGATGCCCTGTCGCTTCCATGGGAATTCGATCTGGGGTACGCATTCCCTCCCCTACCAATGATTTACCGACTGCTGAGAAAAATATGGAAGGAAGGTCTCAAAGTCATCGCCATCATCCCAATCTGGCCTCGCAGACCTTGGTTTCCCCTACTGAACAAGATGAGCCTGGAACCTCCTTGGCCTCTTCCTCTCAGACCAAACATCTTAATCCAGGGACCAGCTGTTCATCCCAACCCCAGCCAGCTGAAATTGGGGGCATGGCTCTTGAAAAGGAGAGATTGCTAGCTCAAGGGATCCCAGAAACTGTGGTAACTACTCTCCTAAAATCCAGAAAACCATCTACTTCTTCCTGCTATCATAAGATTTGGGAAGTTTTTCGTTCCTGGTCTCAAGAGAATAATGTGGATTTTCATCAGCCATCTAACATTAACATTCTACAATTCCTTCATACAGGTCTAGAGAAAGGGCTGAGTCTCAGTACTCTAAAAGTCCAATCTTCGGCTTTATCTGCTCTCTGCAACAAGTCTTGGGCTTCGGATCCTCTAATTGCTAGATTCTTTAAAGCAACCATCCGTATAAGACCTCCAATTAGGAACTACTCGCCTCCGTGGAATTTACCTATGGTACTAGAGGTGTTGGCTGAAAACCCCTTTGCTCCATTAGATGAGCTGGGTATTGTCTTATTAACATATAAGACCTTGTTTCTGGTGGCTGTTACTACTGCAAAGCGTATGTCAGAAATTCATGCTCTTTCCTGCGATGAAAATCACTTTCAAGTATTCCACGACAGGGTGATCTTGAGACCCAGACAAGAGTTTCTGCCGAAAGTTGTCTCAAATTTTCACATCTTGCAAGAGATTGTTATTCCTTCCTTTTATCCATCTCCTTCTACTCCAGAAGAAGTGAAACTTCATCAATTGGATGTCAGGCAGTGCCTACTCAAGTATTTGGAGGTTTCTACTCAATTTCGGAAGTCTCAACAGCTGTTTGTTCTGCCGATTGGTCCCAGAAGAGGGGAGGCAGCATCTACTTCCACCTTGAGACGTTGGATCTCCAATACTATAATCAAGGCTTATCAGTTGAAAGACCTTGTTCCTCCTAGTAGGATCAAGTCACTCTCTACAAGGGCTTTAGCAACTTCATGGGCTAATTGGGCAGAAGTTCCATCTGACGACATCTGTAAGGCAGCTACATGGTCTTCTCCTCTCACTTTCATCAAACATTACAAGATGGATTTGGCATCTTCCTCTACGGCTTTTGGTAGAGGTGTTCTGTCCTCTGTGGAATCTATCTAAATTAAACCCTTTTTCAGCATTATATGGTTTGGAGTTTTTGTTTTGTTTTTGAATTTCCCACCCTATGGTGAAGCTTGGGTATTACCCATAAGTGATGCTGCCATGATTAGCCAGGAATACAGAAAATTTTATCATACTTACCGTAATTTTCTTTTCCAGGCTATTATTCATGGCAGCATCAGCAACCCCCCCTGGTTATCAGATTAGCTTTGGAACTAGACTGTGGGATAGAAGGAGGAGGGACCTTTTATACCCAGTCTGGTCCATATTAATTGATTTTATCCTGTCCTGTTCCTGATTAGGGCGGAGCTACCCATAAGTGATGCTGCCATGAATAATAGCCAGGAAAAGAAAATTACGGTAAGTATGATAAAATTTTCTGTATTCTGTACCTCCTATATTCATGCCCATTTTCTGCTTATCGGGTCTGGGTTCCTTAGTTTTTCTCCCCATTTCGTAGGGGTCAGCTGCAGGTATGTGATGTGTGTTGGGGGTATTATCAAACCCTTTAATTGCCGGTTAAATCGGTTGTCTGCACGGAGCTCATGTATTGTGCGTCCATCCAGGTCAGTGGCTTCTCCTTCTTTTGTTTTTAATCTAACTAATCCTTGTTTTACTTTCCTTTTCTCATTTATGTATCTAAAAAATGTTTTATCACCCTTTTTTTACTGGCTGTGCTATTTTCTCTTGTGTGTTTGCTTTGGAGGCTCTTATGACTTGCTTAGCCTCTTTCTGCCTAATCTTATAGATCTGTCTGTCTGTTTTTTATAATTACTAAATGCTAACTTTTTGTTTTTTACTATTTTGGCCACATCTGCGGAGTACCACAGTGGTTTCTTAAATTTTTTGCTTTTACTGACAAGCCTAATGCAATTTTCTGTTGCCTTCAGCAGTGTAACTTTTAAATAATCCCATTTCTCCTGGACTCCATTTAAACTGCTCCAGTCTGACAAAGACTCCTTTACACATATTCTAGTTTTAGAAAAGTCTGTTTTTCTAAAGTCTAAAACTTTTGTTTTTGTGTGGTGTGACTCAGTCACTGCTTTTATATTAAACCACACTGACTGGTGATCGCTGGATCCTAAACTTTCACCTACAGTAATACCTGATACCAAATCTCCATTTGTAAACACTAAATCTAGTATGGCCTCCTTAAGAGTTGGTTCCTCAACAAGTTGTTTTAGAGACAATCCCAGTATGGAGTTTAGAATATGTGTACTCCTGGTACAAGCAGCTATTTTGGATTTCCCGTTAACATCAGGAAGATTAAAGTCACACATGATGATAACTTCCTTCTTCATTGTCATTTTAGCTATTTCCTTAGCTAGCAGGTTATCTAACTCTTCTATTTGTCCTGGGGGCCTGTAAATCATACCTACACGAGTTACTGTGTGATTACCAAATTCTAACGTAACCCAAACGGACTCTATGTTCGCCTCACTAACTTGTATTAGGCTAGATTTTATGCTATCCTTCACATACAGGACCACCCCTCCCCCTTTCTTGCCTTCTCTGTCTTTTCTATATAAAGAGTACCGTGGTATTGCTATGTCCCAGTCATTTTTCTCATTATACCATGTCTCAGTAATAGCAACTAAATCTACATTCTCAGTTGCCATTATTGCCACAAGTTCATGGATCTTATTCCCTAAACTGCGAGCATTTGTAGACATGACTCTAAGCGTATCATTTTTTAACACACTTTTTACAGTTACTTTCTGTTTTTGTTTTGGGGGGGAATTGGATTGATGTTTTATCACCCTTTTGTCCCCCCTTCCTAGTTTAAATACTTCCTAGCAAAACCTCAGAACTGCTCGCTGAGAACACTTGTTCCCTTTTGAGAAAGATGCAAATCATCTTTTTTGTACCTGGAACATCAACCCTGTTGAGGATTGTGGTTCCACAAATTCGGTGCCTGAGCCTTTCTCCTTAACAACACTAAAATCTGAAAGTACAGAAAATGAATTATGTAAAGACACAGACTGTGTATTATGCCTTTTATCCACATCTGTAAGTCTACCAGATCCTACAGTAATCCATCTGCCATTCCTAGTACTTCTCTGCGGCAGTGGTTTTGCAGCAGTTCCAGCCTGAGATTGTTTAACAGATAATTTACAATCTCCGACTTCAAAAATGCAATCTCGATTTCTAAGCATTAAAATAACTAGCAAATCGAGTGGACTATTCCGAGCGAACTACGCAAGACTGATGAAGGAAATTGAAAACCAACTACACAACTGGAAAAATCTTTTTCTTTCATGGGTAGGAAAAATAGCGGCAATCAAAATGACAATACTTCCCAAGATCCTGTATCTTTTCCGAACCTTACAAATCAAAGTACCTCAAAGCTACGTGTCCAAACTACAAGCTATCCTCTTACGCTTCAGCTGGGGTGGAAAACATCCCAGAGTCCCAAAAGCTCTACTCTTCAGACACGTAAAATATGGAGGCATGGGACTCCCGAACTTAAAGGCATACTACCAAGCGGCCCTCCTCACAAATGTCATATGCGTACACTCGCCCTCACACAACCCCCAATGGGTAGCATTGGAAAGTCAGTTCTGCTTCAACAAGGACCTACCTTCCACACTATGGACGCCCCCAAGCCTAAGACCCCAAAACCTGGACATGCTACCCACTACCAGACTATTGATCTCTACATGGGACGCTAATATAAACAAACTATGCTCGGCCCACCCATGGGCCCCGGCTGCCCCCATCAAGACCTTATACCACTGCAACGGCACATTCCCGCACAAGAAATGGAACGAGAAGGGCATTACACACCTATACCACCTATACACAACTGAAGGTCTAAAACCCTTTCCAGACCTACAATTAGAGTACGCGCTCCCCTCGAACTTCACGTTCGCTTACCTCCAAATAAAAGCGCTGCTGCTAGAAAACACGGTCAGTACAAGGAAACAGACACTACGAGCCAGTAACAAAGTTTGAACTACGATGCATAGCGACATCACCCCAAAGAAAACACTCTCAAGTTGTTACTACCTCCTAGCGAACCCCAAATTAGAAGTAGACTGGAAGTTCATGAGAGACTGGCAAGGAGATCTCTAGAGACAAATAACCCCACAAGAATGGGAGACAATCTTCACGTCACACGAAGGACTGACCACCTGTGCTAACCACTTTGAGACAGCACGTAAAATACTCTATAGGTGGTATATCGTACCTTCCCGACTGCATTCCATATACCCTAACATAACGGACGCATGCTGGCGCTGTAATTGACAAGCAGGCACTATGCTTCATATGTGGTGGTCCTGCGAGGCAGTAAACAAGCTTTGGAAAACCACTGAACACTTGATCCGAGAAATCACAGATTACACTCTACCACACGACCCAGCAGCAGTACTTCTCAAGTTAATTCCAGATAACATCCCCAAACCAAAACGGAAAATTATATTCCTCATACTCAGCACAGTGTCCACTCTGATAGCCAGTACCTGGAAGACCCCCACTCTCCCTTCAGTCTCAGAAATCACAACCCTAATGTCTGCAACAGTAGACTACGAACTCCTTATGTGGAACCAACTGAACATAGGAAAGCTGAGCCCAACCATTGCCGAGATGTGGAGAACCCACCTACAAAAGTCAACATCACCTAAACAAAGCATCACAGCCTAATGCGACACAAGGCTAACATGACCAAGAAATGTGTCACAAATTTAGACACCGACTAGGACTAACATCCCACCACAGCACCTTGCCAACATAATGAAGCTTCCTGGTACCGCACCTAAGACCCCCTTGTTACCCTATCCAACACACCTTCCCTTAGCTCCCCCCCCCTCCTCCACCTGCTCTGACACCCTAAACAAGGATGTCCTGGCAGAGCTACATATCTCAGCTACTAGCCACAGATCATCCTATGACCACAGTCACCTCGCACAACCTGCTTGACCTGAACCAGACAACCACTCAACAGATACTGAGTAACAAGACCTCCAAACGGAGCACGGACAGACCACAAACACAAGATAGCAACCAGGCCCCCAAAGGTTAACAGACATGTTAAACACTGACTGTCTAAGTCACACAAAGGACCTCCCCCATACAACTCACGGTTTCTAATGTGTTACAGCCCTCAACCTAAAAGCACTGAAAACTGTGTGAAAATGTATGTTTTACTTACAAACAGTGTCATGATGCACAATTCCTTATTGTTCCCCTCTCCTTTTGCCTTCTGTACCCCATAATACTTGAAAATAATAAAGAACAAATTATAAAAAAAAAATGCAATCTCCTGCTGCAATATAGAGAACTGTCTACAGATTAGACAACAACCAAACCTCCAAAAAGTGGAACAATAAACAAATGCACAACAACTATTACACTGAACTAAGTCTGCCATTTTACTGAGATGAGGAGTTTAAATCAAACAAATCTTACTTTATTACCTTTTTTTTTTTCTTCAAACTTCTGTGTACCTCAGACTACCTCCAGTTTATCTCCAGAATATCTCCAACCACACACTTTGTAGCAGCACTTAGAAGCAGCTGCCAAGCTCTATTCCTATATTCAGAAGTTACAAATTGATTTGCCTTCTCTTCTGTATCATTATAGAACTTTCGTACCATAGTCATGCATTGACTCCATGCATCCCTGTGAGGAGATGGTGATTGGCAGAGCATGGCGTTTTGCCATAAATGCACAATAGCCTCTCAATTCTTTCCTACAGGAAAGAATTGGATTGGCTGAGATCCTCAAGCACACTTTATAGGACATTGTGAATTGTTAAATACAGCAAACTAGACAACAATGTGCAATGTCAGTCAGCAGTGTGTAAGGCCAGTAAAATATTGCCATGTATAAAAAGGGGCACTTGACTTCTCTAGGGTTGCACCGTTCCTGTGTTACTCCCTTCCCTTCTCTGTTAGACTCTCACCCAGTCTTTATTCCAGTAAAAAAACATGGAAGACTAACTTCTTTAGGAAAGCATACCAATTAAACTGCTAATAGCTCTCCCTCCAGGTTTCTTGATTCCTCTCCTTCAGCTGTCATAAAAAATAAAAAATGAAACTAAACATTAAGCCCACAGAAAATACTATACTATCAACCTTCTTCTCTACCCACCTCTTGCCTTCTATGTCACTTTACCCCACTACCTAGCATGTAAGCTCGTTTGAGCAGGACCCTCAACTCATCTGATTACAAATACATGCCTGTTAATCCACCCATTGATTATATATAATGCACACCTGCTTAAAATAAATCTGATCTTTTGTTTATTTTGAAGCTCTATGGGTGTTTTCTTTCACAATGGAGTAATAGTTTTCAATTTTACGTTGGCTTTTTCACTTCTACATCTGCACACTCTGCTGGCGTAATGGATTATTGGGCTGGTAGAATTTTTTTCCGGGGCTGCTTTTCATCTCCAGCCCAGACCTGCACTTAGCTGTTTATGCTTGCTTTGACAACCTTAATAAAAGTAATTATATAAAAAAAATACATGTGGAAATATAAGGGTGTAGAAACTAATCTGCACATTCTTTGGCATCCGCTTGCCTTTTTTCTTTGAGCAGTAAACCTTGAAGGATGTCCTTTGATCTCTGGTTCCCATGTGATAAAATGCAGCTTCCATTTATTGAGTATTGATCTTCTCTATGGATATCTAATTGCTTATGGATTATTTTTTTGATCTACGGGCATATTCATTTTTCAAGAATATTCTTCAGGATTTATTTCCTTCTTTTCAACAGTTTTAGCATTGTCAGGACCTGCCCTATCCTGCTCAGATGTCTGAGTTTTTTTTTTAGTCTCTCGGATTTCTTTAAATGTTTGTTTTATGTTGGAACACCCGTTCCATTAATCCTTTTGTTTCAGTTTGTTCCTGCAGACAGTTGTTCCAAGTCCTCTGCCACTTTCTTGCAGGTAAGTGCTGTGTGTGTTTTATTATTGTTTTTTAAGTTGTGCATAACTAGGCAGTCTAGGACCCACTGTAAATTGGAGTACTTTGGCGCAGTGGTGGGCTGCATACATCTTAGTACTTAGTTTTGTCTCCTCTTGTTTTGCCTATTATATCTTTTCTTGTTTTATTTTGTATTCCCAGTCCATGCACAGTCCTGTCCTGTCCTGCCCCTGTTCTGTTAATGTTTCCCTTATGTATTGTGTACATATTCTGGGTTTAGCTTTCTATCCTTCTCTGGTTCTGGGTTCTAGTAGTTTTGTCTTGTTTTCTTGTTTGGTGCCTATCCTAGCTTTGCCTTTTTTCTAGTACTGAATACATATCAGCATTCATCTGCTTCTCACATCCATATAAGCTGCACATGGTCTTGGTAAGTGGCCGCACAAATGCTGGAGCTCAACACCAGGGGGCGTGCGGTTACCCTGCACCAGGCCCTACGTATCCACTACCACGCTGAAGACTCCTAATCAACTACATCAGGCACAGGGGTCCGGTCTACGGACTGCCTCCCGTGACAAGCATTGATTAATTAACAGTGAGTTTCTGCATTGATATTGTGACAGTGTGTGAAACAATCTATGTTTTCCACTCCACAGTCACAAATGATTCATGGTTTTCCGTGATTGTGAATGTGCTATGTTTAATCATGGCGCTAACATATAACACGTTTTAATTACCCGAGCAACATATTTCATGTAACGTTTTCGTAAAACTTACCTGGTATCAAGCGTCACGGCCAAATTATCCCATCAGCCCTATCCACGTTGGCTGACATCATTCCCCCTCACTGGGAGGACGGACTGAGGAGAGGATATTGAAGGCATCGATGGAGTTAAACTTATTATGTGCATTGTTTTAAAGTGTAACTCTTGACACCATAACCACTTCAAATCAATGAAGTGGACATTAATTTATTCTTTCTTGAAAAAAATGTATAACGTAAGATGAAGTGCACCTTAAAATATATAATTTTGATTTTCAATATTTTACAATAATGTATCAGTGAGAATGACATTTCAGTGCCTCACTCGTAATTAGATGATATAAAATATTTTTTTCAGAGAGCTGCATATAGTGCCATTTACGTATTTGATCTCACCACAGCTTTAATAAAATTTAGATGGATTCTGTCTAAAATATCTCCAACACTCAATTAAAGCCAGCGCTGGGCTGATGAGCCCTAAAAGATCAAAACGGCTGTCCAATAACTTGGTTTATTCACCTGGGTATTGGCATAAACAGCAGTGTTTTAAAACAGCATGTTGTTATGAAGTAAAATTTCAGAAATGTGGGATTGATATCTGAAAAAATGACAACTCTGCGTGTGCTCATTTGCATATTTCACATGATGTTCAGAGATAAGACACAATCTGTCAGAATTGCTAAATCTGGGACCACTTTTGTGATATGCAAATAGCAGTATAGCTGAGAGTTGAGACACACACATATATTTACAAAGTATACACAAATATGAACTTGATATATGAAACCGTACACACTTTGCAAGCTACGTAGTTTTTTTCTTTCCACAGATGTCATGTACTTACAAACTTCTTGTTAATCTACTGCCATGATGTGGATAAATCGAAGAGTATATGCAAACTAGCAAAGAATTGACCTGAAAATATTCTCTGGCTTATCACAGATGACCTTGTAAATGACAATGCAACACAGCAATGACAGTACAGAACTATTGAGTTATTTTCAATTAAGGAACATCAATTGTATTTGAATTAAATGCATATACTATTATAAAGGTGCAGCAAAATTACAGTCTAATATATATTATGAAAAATATCAAATCATTTTTTTTAAAAGGTTTTCTTATTTGCATGTGTAAATAGGAACCAGTATATCTGACGTGGCGATTAGGTTGTCACAGCTGAATGTGTAATAGATTTGTTTTAAAGCGATACTGTCACTCCAAACTTGCCTTTCTTCTATTGTTTCCTCTTCTTTTCCTCTCTCAGAATCTGTTCTTCTTTTCTTTATTTCTGATCTAGTTTTCTTTAAAGGGACTACTTTGTCT